GTAGATTTCTTGACATACTAAAAGGAAATCATCACAGTAACTTTTTTTACTTTTTTTCCTATAACTATATGAAGTAAAAAATATCACATATTTATTCTCTAATAATCATGTGAATGACATCAATTTCATTTGTTTCTAATCAAATTACTTTTTCACATACTTCCCAAACGCATCTGTCAAAGATAGATCTTTTACTGATTCATATGTTATGATTTATTGATACATTTATCAACAAAAGTTTCACCCTAACTAGATACCAAAATTTTCAATTTATTGATTAGTGGAACTGTATTGTGGTAATAATTAGATTAAAAAAAAAAAACAAAGAGGCATACCCATGCAAAACCATGTCGGCCAAGTCAGCAACCTCTTCAAAGCTTTCTTCCACATGTTCATGTTGTGATCTATTAATCTTGAAAAGACTTTGACTTCGATTGCAAAGGTTTTATTTTGTTTCCTCACATCAAAGGATCAACGTGATAAAAAAATGAAGCACCAAATGGAAGTTGCATAGTGTTGTAAACAATACAACTATTGAAGCCCTAGATTCTTTGATTGCTCTCTCTATCTCCACCTTGTGTTCCTCACCTCTCTTGATTTCTTTGTTATCCCTAAAGTACCAATTCATGATCGCTTTAATGTGTCATAAAGATGATCCGTAAAAGAATCACGAGTATCTTCGCCTCTAAAACTTAAGAAAATGTCATAGTTGTAAGCATTAGAATGATGAGAAGCCAGGATATACTACAGGAATAATTGGAAGCCATTGAAATTCAATCTGCAAGGATGGAAAATCAAGTTAACAGAAAAACTTTCAATTATGCAAAAGGATACCCCCGCCAGGCCATTGACCAACATTTAAAACAACAAGGATAAAATCAAACAAGTATGCAAATACTAAAGGGATTTTAAGCAGTTTTGTGGTTTAGACAATTGCTCATACTTTTTCCAATAAAAACATGCGTGGTTTATAATATTTTACAAATTGACCACTTTTAGAGTTATTAGAGATTTCACCGGTGAATTGTTTATGTGCATGGCAATTATATTAAAAAGAAAAAATAGAATGCCAAGGCAATTATGTGGCAATCATATGTTCATACAATCATACATCAGTGTATGTAGTGAAGCCACTTGAATTTGAAAATCAAGATTTACCTCAAACTTCCACACAAGCCATTTCTCCCCCATTGATTTGTGAAGTAGTATTGTCGGAATCAAAACTCCCAAGAAACTCTCTGGTTAACCACTCTTGAAATTCTCCACATTCTATAGCGCCTTCAACTCCAATTGTACCTAGTAAATTACACAACGGAAATACGAATCAAGATAGCGACTAAAACTGTATTGATTAGTCAATCACTCATGCAAAAGCAGTTGAATCAAAATTTAGGAAACAAATGATACCTTCGTTGATAAAAACGTCAAAATTCTCTCCTGTTTTAGAATGGCCTTTTCTTTAAAGATTTCATCCTTTTAGAGCTGCATCTTACTTCCACATTCCCTGGTTCTTTCTTCTACGGTGACATACTTAAACACCAAAGCAGATTAACAACATCAAATGACCCATCTCCCAACTTATTCCCGATCAAGAAATCGGAACGCTTCAAGCTCCTTCTGCAACACAAACCATGAAACACCTTTTGTTCAGGAGGTAGAATATATGCATCAGTAGCCCCAAACAAAACAACAGTCATACCAGTTGAATAAATCTAAACCAAGCCAGCAAAACCGAAACACCCAATTTTTCAGTCTCTGTTAAGTCCTCGATAACTTTCTGGAACTGAGCATATAGGAAGGGGCTGATGGTGGTGGTGGTGGATGTTGTTCGTATGGTGAAGGGGAAGGTGAAGACGTGGGGTCTTTGTCGGTAAGTGGGTTTAACGGTGGTGAGGAGTGGGGTTCAGGCATTCAGGATGAAAGAGAAGCGGAGGAATCGAGGTAAACAATTCTATAGTCGGTTGGTGCAAATATTATATTATAAACAATAAACAATTAATAAAATCCTCAAAAACCACCCACAGGTTTGCCGCTTAGTTATGAGATATCTTATTAGACCGGTGGAAGTGGCTGCGACTGAGGTCGTACCTTATGTGCCACGTGGAACACTGCCTCTAGACTGCCGTTAGACTGCGGTTTGAATGCGGCTAGGGCCGCACTATGGCTGTACTTGGGAGTGATTGGAGGTCGAATCTGATTGGCTGCCTTCTTTACCGTCGGAAACGGTTAATTTTTTTTTAATAACACTATAAATACACAATCATTTTAACCAAAATAACTCACAAAACTTCATATTTTACCATCTTTTTTCTTTCAAAAACCTCATCTTCAAAAAAGCTTTTTTCTTTCAAAAACCTCATCTTCAAAAAGTCTGCCAACCAAAAAACACTCACTAGAAACACAACAACCCCACCACCTTCATTCAATTAACCGATTTACTCGCCACCTTTTTACCATTATGGTGGAATGCTTTCATACTATCCACAACGTATCTCACAACCACAATGACCTATACAACCACTTCCACAAACACAACCTGACCCGGATTTTAATCATTTTGATTTTGTTTCTCAACCGGAATGGGTTCCACAAACACCTATTTTCGATTCCGAACCCGAATTTGTTCAAGAAACTCGACCTGCTCGACCACAAAATAAAAGAAAAGAGAAGGCGGATGCTAAACCGTGGGAATCCCATGAAGTGTTATCGTTGGCACAATTATGGATTGATGTTTCAGAAGATCCGATGACGGTAGCGGACCAAAAACATGATCGGTTTTGGATACACGTTAGAGCTAGGTTCCATAAAAGAATGAACGTAGAACCATATCGTACTAAGCATCAAGTCTACTCAAAATGGGGAAAGATGAACAAAGAAATCATGTTGTTTAACGATTTATATAACATCAAACGACAATGGAGAAGCGGTGAAAGTGACGATGTGATTTTGGAGAAATCTTTTAACATTTACCACAAAGGGCAAAAGAAGCCTTTCAAGTTTTTTAAAGTTTGGAATCTACTCAAAGACAACAAAAAATAAAAAAATAAAAAACAATCGAGGAGCACATCGATAATGGCTCAAAACGGTCAAGAACTTTCGAATCCAATCAAACTACATCGGATGCTCGTGTTTTTGACGATGAAGGAGGGCGTCAAAAAACATTACGCTAATCGTTTTTAATTTCTAGTTTTTTCCAAGTTTTTAATCGTTTGATGTGTGGTTTTTTAAGTGTAGGTTTAATATTTCTAGTTTGGTTTCTAAATTTTTGGGTTTTTTTTAAGTTATGCAATGTAATGGTAATTTTATTTTTAATTAATGAAATATTATATTTTTTAAAAAGAATAAAGTTTTTTATTTATTTAAAAAAACACCACTCATTGGGTGTGGTATGAAACCACACTTTTATGGTAAACGATGAAGTAACTCCTACGTGACAGTGCACTTTCATAAGAAATTGTGACACCACTCCCTTCAACCTTATATATCTTCATTAATTCTATAATTATCTAATTTAAAATTATATAAAAGTTATCAACATTTATAATTTATTTTTATTTATAAATAGTGATATTTTTACATCCAATTTCATTTTTAATTTAATGTCTTTCTAATTTGCTTTTTCAACCATCGATTTTTTTTTGAAACCCTATTTAAATTTATAGAGGATTACTCATTTTGTTGTTATAAATCATTTGCTTCTAAACTAAAATATTTAATTCTTTAAAAATAATAATATAATAAAAAAATTATAAGTGATTTATTTAATAAAAATTTGATTTGAGTTGGATTGTAAATGGAAATGAAAGTTTAGAACAATTTACCTTTATAATAAATAACTATGGAAGAATCCCCGTTTTGTGGGGTTGGATTCAGCGTAGAGATAGACAAAATAGAAAGATTTTATTGAGTTACATTACATCAACCTAATTTCAACTTGCATAACATCTACCAATTGATGATCATACTGGAAAAAGAAACAAAAATACCCATAAAAAATCTAGTACATCCAGTATTTCAGATGGTGAAAAGATTATTTAATGAACATGTAGGATGGGCTATGGCAAATGTCAGCGTGTGTGTTCTTATCATATTAGAATTCTTTTATCGAGTATCGACAAATGTTAGATAGTTATAGTCGTACACTAGGTTGTGGCCCTAAACCCAAAATATATTGATGGGCTTTCTTGTTTTAGTACAAATATATGTATATAATTTCATTCACCAATTTAAAGGTGTCAAAGCCCTAAAAATCAAAGGCATCAAATAAAATCAGTTAAGATAAATATAGTTAAACAAATTACTTTTGCTCATGGATAATGTGTGATGAGTTTTTGATTCATATGTGTTCATGTTGGTGATGATCGACAAAGTTGACATAGAGAATTTTATTTAGGGGCTGCAAAGGTTAACATGTGAAATGAGAGGACTGGTATTGCAAATTAATAAATAGTCTCCAGATCATATTATGCAATTTGGTTGGTCTTCCTGTTTTCCGTATGGAGGGGTCAAGACTCAAGAGTCAAAACTGACGGAAAATTCGTTAGACACATAAGTTAAGAACCTACCTCAGTCAACATTATTGATTCCAAAACTTCCTGTTCGTTCTCCTTTGCAATTTAATTGATTGTTGGATTCATTTTCATCCTTCAATGACTTGCAAATAAAATTTAACATATATATAAATACTTTAGGTCGGTTGAAGTGTATATTTCAAATACTCATAAAAAAAATTATTTACCACTTGAAACAAATGCTTACGTCATTGGTATCTAAGTCACTGTATGTAGGATATTGCACATGCGTTCCAGATTATGATTTTGTCAATAATATAGATTAAACTTCAAATTAAAAATGTAATAGAACCCAAATGAGTTTGTAACTATTATGGTAATTTCATGAGATATTTTTACTAATAACGTGTAAGAAAACACCAAAAATTAGATTATAAGGCATTCCTTACCTATTTTGCAAATTGTTCTTCTTTTGAAGTGCCAAGTTTACAGGTTTTTTATGGTTTTGCCCATTTTGAACTTGAGCCTTTTATCGTCCATCATTGATCAGAACAGAAACAGAAAGAGAACAGACAAAGATATAAATTACCAACATTATAAGTGTTTCTTTCATCCTTCACATCAAATAGCCCCGATTCCATATCACTAACATGTTTCATTATTCACTACCTCCTTCATTTCCTCCTCAGGCTCTGGATCAGATTACGTACAAGTATGGAAAGGGAATTCCTTTGCATTTCTTTATGTCAAAGATCTTCAAACCATATGTTGATTGCTGAAAACATGGAATAAATCCACAACATAATAGCTCGAGAAAGTAGAGTTTACCTCAGTTTTGCATTCACTGTCAATTTCTTCTTCTTTAGAGTTTGTGCAAATAAGTGCATTTGTCCCTAAGTCCATTTCCATTCCAATTCAACACATTAATCCACCTTCACGATCTCCACCATTCCCACCTAGACTTTTTTAAAGAGATACCCCTTGCACATTGCTACAACTTTGGGTCCATCCTTAAACATACACACAATCCCTATAACCTGCAAATTAATTGATCAAGTGTCATTTATCTTTTGCATCTTTTTATAACGACAAATAATATATTAAAGAAACCAGTAAAAGGGCGGACCAAACATATTAAGATAATGAAGAAAATAAGACTAAACAAATAAGAGGAAAATAATAGAACAACATCCAAATTGGTTTCAGATTGAGCAATAGTACAAATTCAAACAACAATTTGATGTCATGGGAAAAACAACATTAGGGGAAAATTGTCCAGATTTGATAATTTGCATACAATGAGATGTTATTTTGTATTTTATTACAATACCTTTAATGGTAGCATGGATTCGAAACAAAAATTCAAAAATAATTATAATTAAGAAAGTCTTACGAAGGAATTTAGGCAGTGTCGGTCAGAATTGTTGGTTGTGGTTTGTAGCTACGGATTTCATCTTTGCATGGTTTCCAAAGCATTTGCTTCATATGACTCCTTCAACTACAAAAGAAAATATACATCATAACAATATAAATATAAAAAAGGAAGTAAATTTTATTAGAAAAAACTGTTAATTTGTTCCATCGTTCGCAAAGAAAATCTTTCAATCTTTTGAAATGCGATACCTGGGATGTCCTTTTTGACAGTCTAAATTAACTCATGTTGTTTTTTTCATTAACGGAAAAAAAATCTACTAATGTAGTTGAAGAAAAGCATGAGTTTTGAGTTCATTTGAGGTCATCATATCAACCTCAAGACCTCCAACTTTATTGTCCATCTTGTTCCTCTCAACCCCAAAATCAAAACATTGGAACTGATCGAGAAAAGGGGCAACGTTCATCCATTATTCATAAAAACATAACCAAAAATTGATTTAATACCTTAGTTAATAGTTATAGGTGAGGAAAGCAGCTGACAACATGAAGATATGTGAACGCAAATTTCATTGGATAGGTTCTTTGTGCCTGGAGGATAGCACTGGTCCTAGATTTCTGCAGCTGTACGTATTTGATTCTGTCAATGAGAAAAAGATCTCATAAATCAAAAGGCTTGCAAATAAACCGCAAGAACATAACTTGAATAGAAATCGCATCCAACAGATAATTGCATATATAGAACTTGAATAAAGATGGATCAAAGCGGAAAAACAAAAAAAAAAAAAAAAAAAAAAAAAAAATCCATACATGTGGAAGCAAAATCGGAGATGGAGACATGGGTTTAATTTCTGGTTTCTTCGATAACAACCAAAAAAAATCTTCAATTTCTGATTTCTTCGATAACAACCCAAAAAAATCCGATAGCGGTGGAGGGAGCATCCAATGAAGAACACATACAGAGCAAATTATCTGCCAAATCCCAAAATCATGAACAACAAAGCAACAACTTGTAAAATATTAGGGCTCACATGAAGAAACGAAGTCTTCAACACGAAAAATCAGTATATGTTTTTCGTTGAAACTTGTTGTGCTTAGTGTTCTAGGGTATAATAGACCATCAATTCCGCCTCTATCGAACAATTCCTTACCTCCATCGCAGTCATTGGTATGTTGGTTCCCCGATTTTGCTTCACAGGAATTAAAATTGCCCGGCACATCCACCGTCCATGCAAAGTTCCACCGTCCACAATAAAACTCCAAACGATAGACGATAACATCTCTGGCGGCAGTAAATTCCATACATCTTCGTGTTCTTCACAAATAAAAAAAGTGAATTACTCTCATAAGACAGATGAAAAGGAAATAAATAGTAATTCAAAGAATCAAATATACAAATTGCATTTGAAATACCTTATGAATCAGAGTTGGTCGACTGCCTTCTTCTACCACCAACGTCAGTGACCGGAACGTCGTGAGAAAGCATCGATACAGTAGAACCCTAGGCGATGGGGAAGAAATCGACATTCGAAGTAAGGAAGAAGCACGTGATGATCAGTAAGGAAGGAAGGGAGAAAAAGAAGAAGAAACCTAGGTTTCTTGATGGGTGGAGATCAGAAGTAGATAATGGCGGTGGGTGGACACCGATGTGGAATCTTGAAGAAAACAACGATGATTATCGGTGGAGGAGACTGTGGTGAAGTAGATGATTATCTGATGGAGGTGGTGAGAGGAAAAACGAAACAAATGAGATAAGGTGGTGGAGAAGATATTGAGGCGGTGGAGTATATGTTCTCTACGTCTGATTGCATTGGGCGGTGGTATCAGAGTAGTGAACGGTGGAACGCAAAAGAACACCGCCACGTAGATGGTAAAGCTGGAGCAGAATGCACGTGTTACCCATTGTGTCATAGAACACAAAACATTTATTATGGACCAAAACCCATGAAATAAAAAAGAAAATCAACCAATCCGAGAAAAGTAATATATATATATATATATATATATATATATATATATATATATATATATATTCATTTGAGACCACCTATATTTTGTGAGACATGGGGATTAAATATTAGCCTTTGATCAAAACTGATCTTGTGGCTCATAAGAAAAATGGATTAACACTAATTAATCTAACTGATTAGTTAATTGGGGGTAGATTAGTCACTAGGTTAAATTCAGATCTGATATATTGTTAGCGTCATCTTCACGTCATCAAGAAATCATCTCATCTGCTTCAATTTTTCTACCAAGATATTCGTTGGATCAACATTCATTGTTCTTCAATTCAACCAGGTCGATCTTCTATCTCCAATCTTATATTCTTTCAACCGGTAATCAATTTGAGTTTGACCTTGATCGAACAATGCTAAATCATAGCTTTTAAAGTCGTAATTTTTTTTGTTTTTCGAGTTCATGTTCTTCATTCTTCTACATCTGCAATTGGTAATCTGAGTGACTTTGGTCAATCATGTTCTACATTCTTCTACATCTACAGTTTTTGTGATTTACGAGTTCATCTACTTCGATTCATCTACCAAGACATTGATCGTAACAGAGAAGTCGCCCCCCTTTGTTGGCTGATGATTTCTCAATCGCAACCAAGTTTTACCAATCCTTCATAGAAAGTTTTCCCCTTCATTTAATGGAATCGTAACTAAAAGTATGATATTCAACAACTTCAAGCTTCAATTTAATTTTAGATCAACGATTTTTAGCCATTCATTAACATTGGTAATCAATCATCAACTGATATCGATTTCCATCTGATCGATGCTTCGAGTTTTATTCTCAAATCAGGTATTTTATCAATTTAACTTCATCTTAAATCTATTATCACTTCAAGTATTTGCTTTCAGCCATCGATTATCAATTTCAAGCTTTCGGTTTTTTATGTGCATTCGAGCACATATTAAATGAAGATAAGCAAGCAAAAACAATGTATCTTCGAGTTATTTCGTGCTCATTCTATAAAATCAATGAGGTATGTACAAAACTATTATTGTTCTTGAGCCAATTCTCTTACATTATACATGCACTCTACCTGTTTGATGAAAGTCTTGAATGAATAAAGAGTTTGATGTAGAGTCTGATAGATCACTCCTTCCTTCCCACCCTTAAACTTTGTTACTATTTAATGATATTGAACCCAAATTCCAAGATGATTTTTCTTAACTTAGTGATGACTGGTGTACTTATTCTTTTTGTCAGTGATTGAAGGATATACAATTGTCATCGATGCAAATGTTCAGTGCATATGTTAGAAGAAGCATATCATCCATATCTTACCACCATTAATTAATGATGAGAACTTCAAGAAGCATATTGACATGTTGGTTTCAATGGTGCTTGGTCCATAAAGAGTTAAAGTGGCTTAGAAGTTGATGGATGATGAGGACTTGGTTCATCTTTAGAATCGAAATCTGTAATGAGGATGTTGGTTTAATTTACTCCTTGCACTCTCTTTATTTCTTTCTTAATGAAATTGTTCTCTACATTTGTGCAACTTTAAACATTGTTATTGCACCAGATATATATCCTAATACCCATCAAACCCATTTCACAATGTAAAGTGGTACATACAGTTATGAAATTAGCTAAAACTTTCATGTTTTCTATCATTACAACTTTTTAGGTAAGTCTTGAATGGAACTGTAGAGAATGTGGCTCAATAATAATTTTCTAGAGAGTCTCATTCTATGTAGTGGGATGTTATAAATTTGCTTATGTTTTTTTTGTTTGGTTTCAAGTGATGTCTTAGAGGTAATTAAATAAAACGATAACACTATATTCTATGTTTTTACTTTTACATTGGTATTTACAAATAAACTGTGCATTATTTTAATTTTCTTACATATATATTGTTATATTCTGGTTCGATATTTGATGTTCATATAATCATTTAGTGTTACATTCTATTTAGAATGTTATACATATACAAACAGCCTATAGCATTATTCTATAAGAATATTAAGTTGTAACTTAAATATAGACAACCTAATTAAATTATTCTGTTAGAATGTTATGTATATTCAGAATATTGAATATAATATTAGAATCTTATGTAATATAAGTTCATTTTATATGTTATAACACAATTTAGAATATTACACTTTAATATCAGAATATTCCATACAATTTCATAATATAAGAATATTTTACATATAACTTAGATTATCCTAGAACATTATGCATATTATACTACATGAACAGACAAAGTACATAATTATTCTATTAGAATATTCTATATATACGCATTAATTATGTCTTATTAACAGTACATATAAATTTAAACGAAATCATAATACTCAGAATAATCAACTTAAAACAAATCACCTTTTGCAAATCAGAGTATTCTAATTATAATATTATACTTCTATTCATGTTAGTACTCAACCTATAACATTATTCTACAAAAATATTCTATATGTACATTCAACATGTATATTGTTCTTTTAGAGTATTCTACTTCTATACATGTTAGTATCCAACGTATAACATTATTCTTTATGAATATAACTTATTAAACTATATCATAATAATTAGAATAATTAAATTAAAAATAAATCATAATAAGTATAATATCAAGTAATTAAATGAAACCAGAATATTCATAATAATCAACTTAAAACAAATCAGCTTTTACAAATTAGAATATTCTAATTTTAATATTATAGTTTTATACATGTTACCACTCAAACTATAACATTATTTTGTAAAAATATTCTATATGTACATACAACATATTTTATTCTTTCAGAATATTCTAATTTTATACATGTTAGTAGTTAGTCTATAATATTATTATGTAGGAACAATCTATATGTATAAACAACATATATATTATTTATTTTAGAACAATATACATGTACATTAGGACTAATCATATTTCCAACCATACCATTAAGTAGTCATCATATTACCAAACATAGAATTAAACATTCATTATATAATCAACCATACCAACTGATTTACAAAACATTAAGCAATCATTAATATCTAATTTATTCAAAAAAAAAACATAACAAAAGAAAATGTTTTCATGTTACATAACCATATTTCCAAACTTTCAAATGTGTAACAATTCTATTTTTCACTCGTTTCCCGTGCATCTCTTGCTTCAATTCTTTATTTCATCAACCTACATCAACAAAATCAAAATTATTCACTTGGTCGCCATCTTCAGCTTTCAACCATTTCCATGTTCCTTGTTTCTGAGTTTCTTTAACTCCAACCCGCTCCTTTTCATTTTCTGACTTATTGGTACTTGAAAACATAGTACCTGAAAATAAGTCATTGACCTTCTTTGTCATACTTTTATTCTATTGTCATTTGGAAATATAGATACATAATTAGAAATAATTTCTTGTATATTCTCTTTTCTAACTAAAACTATTTTGAACACATTTTCATACATTTTTCATATTTCTGAAAAGTAAATATAACTTAGAATATCAAATGAAATTAGAATACGCAGAAAAAATAATCATTTATGAAGTAACGTATAATTTATCATATCAAAATACATAGAATATCAAGAATGAACCATAAGCATGTCATATTAGAATACATAGAATTAAGGAAAATAACAACATACTTTAACTTTGATACGAATATAGACAATATATTATAACTATATTCTGTTTTTCTAACTAATTAATTTTATTATATAGTATATGAAATTTATGATAAAGTTCAAACTGTTGCAACATTCTAAAACATGTAAAATTAGAATACCTATAATTTCCTAGAATATCATCTATGAACCATAAGCATGTCATATCAAAATACTATTTATCATATCAGAATACATAGATTATCAAGAATGAACCATATGCATTTAATATTAGAATACATAAAGTTATGTAATATAGCAACATACTTTAACTTTGATACTAATATAGACAATGTTTTATAACTATATTTTGTTTTTTAACTAATCAATTTTATTATATATTATACAAAATTTATAATAAAGTTCAAATTGTTGCAACATTCCAAAACATGTACAATCAGAATACCTAGAATTTCCTAGAATATAATCTATGAACAATAAGCATGTCATATCACAATGCCTAGAATTACAGAAAACAGCAACATGATTTACTCTTGCTATTAATATAAACATTGTACTTACTTTTTACCCATTATAACAACATACTTTATTGATTAACCAATATAATAAATATATAAAACCTCTATAAAATGATCACATGTATTACATTAATGTTAAGACAAACATTCCATAGGATTGGCGTTATACACTATAAACATGTATTATATACTATAAAAAAATGATAAACAGTTAGACTTCAATGTGTAAAAAACCCTATATCATCTAAATAAAATAAACAAAAAAACCAAGTTATGAAGTACATATGGTTTATCTTATTAGAATACCTAGCATATCAATTATGAAACCATAAGATTGTTATATCATAATACTTAAAATTACATAAAATAGTAACATACTTTACTCTTGCTACTAATACAGACATTGTACTTTACTTTTTTTTTTGCCATTATGGCTACAGACTTTCATTTATTAACCAATATAACCAATATGTAACTTGAATCTTTGTAAAATGATCACATGTGTTCAATTACATATTGTTATTATCAGTAAAAATATGAGTTGAATTCTCCACCTGTGATTTATCCAAGGTTAACTAGGTACTCACATTCAGTATGAGAATGACATGAGGAATGCACAAAAAATAAATAGAATATATATTGAATGTTATACCTTTCTTTTTTATTTGCTAAGTTTGAGTTTTAATGATAACTTAAAACCTATAATCAGAATACTTTCGAGTTACATGTAGAGTTAACATCTAGATGAAAATCTCTGTATGATTTCATATATTCTAGATATATCGCAGACATAAATGTTGGTTTAAGTGATA